TTAATTTATTAGGTTCACTTTCATCACAGTGATCTGCGAATGCGAGAATAAAATAGGACACATAAAACATAGGTACCTACAGAGATAACTAGAAACTAGTCCAAAGCAAGGTAGGATAAGAATTTTCCGGAAAATGATAATTGTAGCTTGAGCAATTAAAGTATAAAGTTACTTTTATCGAGCGGTAAATTCAAACGCGGGCGATAGGTTGGTGGAAACGTGCCTTTATAAGGGGAAAACTGTTTATTTTTGAAAACGATGTCGAATGGATGCCATTATATTATGGGTATAGTTATTTTATTTTTGAACTAGAAGAGTCCGCTGCGCATAAAACGTAATAAGTATTTTGGGCGTTGAGTATCGTTAACCATATCCTCGGGCGGTAAATGACACTTTCCGCCATTAATACCTAAATAACTATCTACCAAAAGTAGCTTAAGTAGCTTATTTCAGTAGCTAGCTACTTTTCACAGTAGCTTATGAATACTTGAAACATATTACCAAAAGCTACAGCTACAAGCTACTTTTTTTTCAAAGTAGCTTGAATAAGTTATTACCCAGCCAGCAAGGGTACGTCATATTGACGTCCTTATATGGTGATAATTCGTCAATACTCGTCACCTGACCAAAAACTGACGACATATTGACGTGTGATAAATGCCGTTCAAATGACGTGCTTTTTATCACGTAATATTGACGCGTTTTTCTGGTGATAAATGTAATACACATTGACGTCAATATATATCATGTAATATTCACGTATTTTGCTTGTGGTTCAGTAAACCTGGTTTTTTGAATTAGTTTTTTTTTTTCAATGTGTTTTGAATGTATTCCTAGAATTCCTAGGGTTGTGCCGTGTATACTGTATTCTATAGTGAATAGGAGACAAAGTGATGATACAAATCATTATTTTTTTTCGCATTTGTAACTACTCACGAAAATTTTGATCGAATCGAATGCGAATAATACCCCTACCCTCGCATTTTTTCGACATCCTGTTTTTTAATTTTTACTACAGCAAAACTTTGATGCGTTTGAAAACACATCTTTGAATAAAAATTAAATGGAAAACTCCCATAGTTCATACTCATAGTTCCATCTCTGACTTTCAAATAGTATAGAAATAAACGGTAGAAACTGTGGAAAGGCCAGAAAGGGGACGTATTTGGTTTGTTTTTGTGTTTGGTCAACGGTTTGGTGAATGCGGAAATTACTGTATTCCTTTTATACATCGAGTGACACCGAACAAACACCGAACGAAAAACGTTCAAGCTTCTGACTTTGAGCAGCTCCGAGTAACTCAACGGGAAAAAGGAAAAGAGTAAATACAAATACACTCACTCCTGTATTTTTTTTGTTTCGAAATTCTAGCATTAGTTTAGTATTAGTAAGGGACAACAATAAATATTGCATCGCCGCGTGGGGAAACGAATATGCTATTCAGCGAATTCTATTGGTAGAACCAGTGCAGAAAAATGTTTTTTTATCTCTTTCTTATAGAAGTCGGTAGAAAAGACACGAACACACTCAGTGCGCACTAACCCTTCCAATTCGCTACTGTGTGTGTGACTGTTGACGTTGATTGTTGTGAGGGAGTTTGTTGAGGTTATGTTGTGGTTGTAGCATGGCGTGGTCGTGTTTCATTTGGTTTTCCCTCGCTTTTTGCTTTCTCATTTCCCTCCAAGTTTCCCTCATTTCTTTTTTACGCAAGTATCGCGTGGAATTATTAATTCTTGATATATTTTTCGGTTTTAATTTCTCTTCAGAATCATCCTGCTGCATCCAAGTGAAACGCCTCTATATGAATGTGAGTTTTATTCACGTGTTTGTGTTGAGACTAATAACAATCACCAACCGTAAGTATATGTCTTTTGTTTTAATATACCTTATTTTATATTATAATATACATTATTATTATTGCTTGTTCACCTAAGGGCCAACTTATGGACCAACAGGTAAGTGTCTGGTTGTTACCTCACCTAGCAAGTACTACAAGTAATATGTTTAATACGCCTACAGAATATTTATATTGTCTTTTTTTAAATATATTTTTCTCAAAAGTGATATAGTGTTGGTTGATTTTCGTTACAGGTCATATAAATTTGAAAAAACAAGGATTTATAGAAAATATATCAGGTAAATATGACGTCATTTATAAAATAGATATCACGCGAATGGAACGTTATTAATACGCCAATATCACGTTAAATAACTCATAAACTTGACGTCAAATAACACGTAAAAATGACGTACCAACTATGACGTCATTCGTCCCAGACATTAGGAAGTCATTTTCACGTCATAATTAAGTCATTTAGCTCGTCATTTCTCGTCACTTGATGACCAGTATTTAACGTCATTTTCACGTGCTGTTGTTACTTGGGTAGCTACCAAAAAAGTAGCTAAGCTAGTAGCTTAACTACTTGGTAGCTAGCTACTGCCCAGCTCTGACTTTACACACAGGAAAAACTTCCGTTTTTAACTTTTTCATACACACACAAACGTTTTTGTTTCATTAAAAATATCTGTTATTTATTTTTAGGAATTTTAGGTTAGGTAAGCGATCGTTAAATAATAAATTTGAAAAGAATCACAAAACCCGCCAAATTCATGTTCTTTTGGATTGCACTAAATGTGAACTGATTCAGTGTTGATTGCAGAACTCGGGCAGCACGAGTTTTACCAACAGAAAACGCTATAACATTTTTCTAACCTTTCGTTTTCAAGTGGCATTTTCAGTGATGTCATCACTTGACATACCGCCCCTAACCGTTTTGTAACCCGGTTAATTTAAACCGGAGCGACGTGAAAAGGTGTAAAGAAGTGATGGTTATATATTTAGACTGTCAATACCTCTCAATTTTTGCATAATTATTTTTAAAGCTCAACATAAATATTACGATATCGAGCTTAACATAAACAATTTAAATTTAAACAAATAATCAGCTGCTGGAACTTAAGGATGATACACACTACTACTACAGGATAGCCTATCCTCATAACGCCTTTGTGGAACAAACCCCCCCCCCCCCCCCCCTTCCACGCCAAATCACCAGTTGTGACGTATAGGCAGCATGAATATTTCTCTCCTTGACGTAGGCTGTTTAAATAGCTGACGACTTAGTTATGAGGTCGGAAATGGTGATACACCATTATGGCGGCAATTACCAAAAACGCGGCCGATAAGCAATTATGTAGGTGGATCCTTGGCTGGAACTAACAAAAGTGACAAACAAAGAGATGACAGAGGATGCGCGCGACTCCGAAGCTCTGTGACCGGGGTACGGCTAATGTCTTGTGGCTAGGTGGGTTCGGGATGACTGTTCTATTAACTCCAAGTGCAGTAAACACTCCCGATGCGTTCGGGTATTGTCATTTTGAGCAAAAAGGGCAACTCCGCATGCGTTCGGGAAGGACGTGCGGGAGTCGAAAGAGCAAACTCTGAAAGCACCACCTCGTCATTGGCAAGCGCCAGAGCGGGCATGTGCAGTGTGTATGTTTTCGTGATTTGTTGTAATCTATCCAATTTTTTTGTTTGCGACAATCGACTTTTCGACTAATCGACAAATAACAAATCAATCGTCGCGTTCACCAGCACTCAACATGTTGAGTGATTAGTAAGCAGCTTTGTTACAACAAGTGGAATTCACAAGGTAGAACAGTTTTGATTGGCCTAGAGATTTTCATCTGTTCTCAACGAAGCCGCTGACTAATCACTCAACCTGTTGAGTGCTGGTGAACGCAACCAATACCTATATCTTGATTTCATCATCATCTTCTTCAGACAAGTCTCTGAAATAAACTTACCCAACAAAATTGAATATGGACACTAAACTTCATTTTGTTATTTTTCTATTTGCATATGACACAAAACCACAATAACAGGAGAAATAGAAAACTTTGAAAAGACGTAAGTTAACTTAAAAACTCCAAATGCATCCTGGCCGTTCGATTTCACTAATCTACTCCAAAAGCACTTTGGTTACGTGCCATCATGGACCCAGCTTATGTCTATTGCCATTCTACGTTGTTCATTTGTCGCTTAAATCGCGTTAGATACATGAATTTCGAAAATATGTTTGTGATTTAATTATAAAGTTCAATGTATACATGTTCTAAGCCCAAAATAATGAAAAAATTTCAATAATACCAAAATTTATATTTGTTTACAAATATTTTTAGCAACTGAACCAAAGAAATTGAAGAAATAAAACAAAACCAATCAAGAGCATGTAGCCAAATGTCAGTTTATCGGTCGGCTGCCTACGAAAGCTCGTGATCCTTAACAAAAACTTAAGCCGTAACGTAAGAAATAAAATTGGACCATTTCTTACGGCTAGACGTTGCACTATGAATTGTCCGTGAACCATAATATATGCACATCGTCGGCATCAAAATCTTATGTCACCTTAGGCCGCGATAGGCGCTGAAGTAGCTGCGCACTAATCAACGCATGGGTTATGATGTCACATTTCCGTCCCATTTCCCGAGGTTCACCTTCATACCTCCGCTTACACATACAAAAACTTTGAAAACCTAAAAAGTGACATTGTTTCAGCCCGAACACTTCTTGAAGACTGGAAAAATTACTTTACTGGCATGATTGGATTTAATAATTGATTTACGTCAGATTCAAGTTCAAACTTTCACAACGCGCTTTTGTGACAAATATCGCCTTAGAGTCACACTTTTCTGTCAACTTTCTGAAGAAATCTATATTAGATGGTAATTTTATAATAAAAATTTAGTTCACAAATAGCTTTCTAATACTAGAATTTTATTAGATAGATACTAAATAAAACGAACACAGCTTTTTATGAATTGAAATTTAATGAATATCGCAAGAATATATACTATTTTTTGAAATTTATTATTATAGCGCCCTCTATTAGAATACGCAAAAAATAATTTTCTTGTCTAGCCATTTTCAAGTGTTTTGCAGGGCCAACCTCTCGTCCCCATGGAGACAGTAAAATTCAATTTTCTCATAGTGTTGGAAGAAAAAATAAAAACAATAATTCACTTAGTAAATGTTCCCAAGAACGATTTAATTTGTGTATGTACTCTTTGAACGTCTCACGTATTTTCTACTCCTCCATTCGCTCCTACTGAACTATCAGACGTTTCAAACTCCGGGGCTGGTGCGCACGCTGCTGCAAATATGCGCCTTGGCCGTCGTATGCACGTTGGCCAGTCGATTGTGTTTGTTTCAAAATTGTGCTAGTGAATTTGAACATTTTGGTTAATTAAAATCAAGGCAAATTCATCGGTAAGTTGTTAATAATAATTATTAAATGGATTGTATTGTTTTTTTGGTGTTCCAATGAAAATTCAAGGTGCTTATTGTTGATTTGTTAAACTAACCTTAAACACTTGGCGTCAGGCTACCCTAGAAATCGAGAGAGGCGAACCTACGGGGGGGATTTCAAACTTGGGAAAGGTCTTATATGTGTTTTTATGAGTGAGGGTTTTATATTGTGCATATTTGGGTGAAACGTTTATTTTAATTTTGCTTAAATTAGTTTATAATACTCATAAGCACAAACCATAAAGTTATAACAGGATAATAGATATTACAAAGTTTATAACAAAAAAAAGGGTTTTATGCAAACCAAAGATTTATTCTGAAAATAAAATACCTAATTGATCATGAAAAGTTTGGGTTAGTTTGGGTAAGTTAGTTAGTTTGGGTAATTTAGAGCTTTCAAGGGCCAGTTCGACAGTTCAAGTATATACTGAGTACCTATACTTAATAGTGCCGGATGCATATTCATTTTTTGCCAACGCAACTGATATTCGGCTAGATTCGTGCCCTGCGCCGTGAAGCGTTAGCAGAATATGAGCATCGCAACCAGACGTTGGCACTTCATGTGACTGTATGTTACAAGCATTTTATTGATAATTAGGTCCGATAAATGTTTTTTATTCAAAGGAAGGGAAGATAAAAGATAAGAATTTTATTTATATGAAAATTTTAGCTAAAACAATGGCAAGATATTGTGTTAGATAAAACTACCGATGTCTTTGGAACTACCCGATGGACCTTTTATACTAACTATTTTATAGAGTGTGAGCTAGAAAAAAATTGAAATAATAAAACACAAAAGGTAGAAATTGAGAAATGTCGAAAATGCAAAATGTCGGAAATATGAAAAGTTCAAAATAAAATAGCTATTTTCCTAACGAGTGCGGGAAGAGAAATTTCCGGCAAGAGGGTGCGAAGCGCCCGAGTGCCGGAAATTTCTTCCCGCAAGAGTTAGGAACTATATTTTTTCTACGAGTATACTAAAGCTGATGTTACGAGACGTTTAATTTAAATAAAATGCGATTGTGCAGAAGGTAGAATTAAAAATGTATTGAAAGGTATTTATAAAAAAAAGGTAAAGGTATCAAAGGTAAAGGTATAGGTGTATCAACAATACAAAAAATTCCATGTCACAATGATTATTTCAAAGTCTTCCCGCACTGAGTGCGGGAAGAAATCTCTTCCCGCACTGGTGCGGGAAAAAAGTCTTTCCGCACAGCAAATCGTGCGGGAAGAGCCATTTCCCGCACGCTCGTAGAAAAAAGATCTTTTGTCTCTTTTGTTTCTACATATTTATTTATTTTTGTAAAATAAAAGAATAAAATAAATGTTCCGCTGAACTCTCGACTGAACTGTGTTTCTGTCGCACAACGTCAAAGAAGCCAACTTCAGTGACTCATAATATTTATTCAAAATTTAATAATACATACAAGCGCTCTATTTTTTATATGCGCTCTTTTTTCGCTATTTTATCAGGTTCATAGAAACACGAGATTGGGTCGCATTTCCAGGAGGGGTCAGTTTGGGTTAATTTGGATTAGGTACTTTTTATGTCATTGCTTGAAAAAAGGAAACATGAAGGAAGTTTTTAAACGAAACTAACCCAAACTAACCAAAAATAACCCATACTATCGAAAACTAACCGAAACTAACTCAAATCTACCAAATAAGTTCTGGGCCCTTTCAATAGACACAATGACGGTAATAACGGTATTTCTTTATTCGTTATCGCATTTCGCATTGAAACATGTGCCAACAACTAACAATAACTGCCAATTTCCAACTGAATTTATTTAAAGAATATTTTCACGAACGCCAGGCAGGTTCTATAAACTGCCAACGTTAGTCCACTTCAATCATAATTTGCCTACGCTGTGCTCGAACGAACACGAATGCAGCCGAAGGTCCTATTACGTTGGCAGAACATGAATATGCGTGCCGGATCTAAAAATAATATTTGCAACGTTGTCAGTTCTTTAGTTTTTCCGATCAATCTCTCAACTTTATTTTTTTGAATGCAAAGCTATGGTAGTTTTTGATTCAAAATGTTGGTCAAACCAAAGTGTTTTATTAATGCTAGATTCGAGGCTAGATTATTAAATTTTTCGTCTGCGGATTTTAAAAGCTATGGCAATATTACATTTTCATTTGAACGAATTGGAACGGCGAAATATATTAGCAAAGGCTTAACACAAAGTTATGAAATTTGGTATACAAGGGTTTTTAAAAGTGCCAGATCTGAGATAATATTTGCAACGTTGTCAGTTTTATAGTTTTTCCGATAAATTTCTCAAGTTTATTTTTGTAAACGCAAAGCTATGGTAGTTTTTCATTTAAAATGTTGCTCAACTCAAAGTGTTTTCAATCCTAGTCCCTAGATTATTAAATTTTTCTGCTGCGTATTGAATGATGATATAAAGTTGTATATTCGCTGGTTACTCTACAAGAAATTGCACTGCAAATGATTGCCATAATAAAGCAGGTACTTACTTCTAACAACGATGATTTTAACTGTACAACTACAGAAAAAAAAAATATTTTGCTGGTACACATTTGCAGAACTTAAAAACTAAAATAACAAGAGCAAGAAAAAGTCAGGAAGCTATAGCTTTTTTAAGTATCAGACAGTATTGCCCATAATTTGTTTTGTGGACTAGTTGTAAAAAAAGTTGCCTTTGTCTAGTTCTTCTGGCAGAAACGAGAAAATAGATTTCTTGTAAAAGTTCAGTCATGAGAACAAATAATACCACATATCAGCTTATACAAAATGTTGTGATCCTTCAGTGTTTTGCCTTGGTTAAAACTACTTTTGTTTTTGGTTTGAAACTTGTAGCTTTATTAGGTAATGGAATATAGAATGAAATTGAACTACAGCAAAAGTAAGACTTATTTTAGAGAGAGTTTTAACAAAATGTGTTACTACGACTGAAGCTGTCTTAAGACTGTCTTCTTGCTTCACTAGATCTCTTACAAATCGACCTTTACATCCCTTCTAAAACGTTTCTAAAACCTACATAATTACAACTGGAAAACCCTAAATAAATATTGGCAATAAATGACAGTCTGTTCGCCCAAAGAATGACCATTAAGGATATTTGGGAATTTTGGGGTTTATGGTGGACAAATGTTTAATTTATTTACATACAATATCTTTGGGTTCTTTAACAGAAAGTCTGGGTCATATAATAATATTGCTTTCGGCGACGGCGAGACATTATTTGGGAATTTTGGGGTTTATGGTGGACAAATGTTTAATTTATTTACATACAATATCTTTGGGTTCTTTAACAGAAAGTCTGGGTCATATAATAGTATTGCTTTCGGCGACGGCGAGACATTATTTGGGAAAGTATTCGAGGGTCGTAAAAGGTACAATGTCATGATATTATGGAGGAATATGACAAAAAAGATCGATTGTGCATTCTGACGTCTATTCTCTAGACTAGTGAAGCCACACGACAGTAAACGTGTGTTGTAGTCCACATTCTGATAAGGAAATCTTAGTTTGTATAACAAGTATTTAACAGATTTATTCTGACTCTTCCAATCCTCTGGATGTGACAGTTATAGTTAGGTATCCAAATTATGAAGCACTATTCCAATGTAGACCTTATCAGACGATATTAAAGTGTGGTCATTGCTTTGACATATATATCTCGAGTGTTTCTCTTGATAATGCCGAGCGGTCTAAAACTCTCAAGCACACCATTATCGATATTTTTGCTGAAGGGCAGATCTTTTTGAAATATAACTCCCAAGCCTTAATGGTATCAATAGTCTCCAATCTTCAATTTTCAAGAAATTATGTGTTCAGGTAGGGATTGGAGGGGGTTGGAATCTGAATCCAAAGTAACAAAAAGTTTTAGGTCATCAGCGTACAATAGGCATCGTAAACCTTTGAGACACCCGACGATATCATTGATAAAAAGCACGAACATAATTGGGCCCTGAGGCACACCAGGATGGTACTGAAAAAAATGTGAGAGTACACCGCACATGTTGCGTTGTTGACGCCTAGTTAAGTAGGAGCGTATCCAGGACAAGAAATGTTCGCTAAAACCGATGCATGATAATTTTCTCAGTAGAATCCTATCACAGACACTGCCGAAAGCTTGGATACATGTGTATATTTGACATCAACTTGCTTCCCTGACTCCAAAACAACAGTTATAGGGCTTGTTGATAACAAGCCAAGTTTGTTTTCTTAATTCGCGTTCTTGTATTGACGCTTTTCTTCTATAAGGTTTATGATTTCCTGGGTCATCCATGGTTTTTTCGCACTGCGCCTACGATTTATTCCCCGGCAATCCGAATCGTTGATATAATCTTATTCCAGGCTATGCCAATATCTGTCGCTGATGCTTCAGAAAAATCATTCGCAATCAGATCCTTAAAATTTGCTCCATATAGTGTTCTTATTTAAGCTTTTCTTTGTTTAATATTTTTGATTTTGTTACTTGTTGTAGTTTTCTTAGTCTCAATTTTACATTTGCTGCGAGCAGTTCGTGGTCAGTGTCAGCGTCTGCACTTGGGTAGGTTTTGACGCTCTCAATGCTATCCCTAAACTGTCTGTTAAAACAAATGAAATCATGATCTTATCTTCGTTGTTTCGTCGTGATGTCCAAGTATAGATATTGGTAGTGGTCGACGAGGCAGCTCATACAAAATATATAATCTTTTTCCTGATAGTATTGTATGAGTCTCTCACCTCTCACATTGCTACAACCCTGTCCAAAGCCACCAGCAACATTCTCGACCCTGCCTTTGCCAATTTGGCGTTGAAATCACTGATAATTTTTTGAGTTCATGTTTCTTCAATTTTTTGATTAACGCATCTAAATTTGAGTAGAACTTTTCTATAGTTTCTTTATCGCTGTCAGTTGTAAGAACATATATCTGTATACAATTTGTATTTATTGTATAGGGAGATTCGTGGGTTATAGAGTAAAAATCAAACGAGAAGA